CACAGCTGCAGTCTGCGTTTTAAGAGTGAAGGTAGTCTTTGACGTGCTGCAACTGTATAATCATCACAGGAAGCGGTGGCCTACCAATAATGACGTAACGTCTTTCCCTATGCTTACCCAGGCTCGCAGTTCTGAATTTGAGAACAGGGCGAGTTTAAAGTCGACACGTCGAGATTAAACTCAACATGACATTTCAAAATGGCGAGTTTAATGTCGACATGTCGACTTTCGAGTTTAATCTGGTCATGGCAAAAATATTTTTTCTCTTCATGTGTGGCCCTAATACTCCATCGTAATTACAACATCCAACTACCATGCACGTGGGCAGTTTACCTATAGCTCTTACAAATTTCAATGGTGAAGTCCTCTCGAAATCTTAAATGATTGTTGTTGATTGCAGGCGTGTCTAGTAGGAGAATGGCGCTAGGCTTACGGCACTGTGATGCCACTGCCGGAAGATGGCAGGAGTGATGCTCTACTATATTTGTGCAAAAATGGACGATCCCGGACTCAGTGATCTCGACGAAAAGTATTGTTTTTATTTTTTTTTACTGATTAACACTAAATTCATTAAATCACCATGAACATATTAGTTTTAGATATAAATAATGATCCATAGGGCGTGCTTTGGTGGTGCAGTGGTTAAATTATAATAAGGATCCATTGGTTATTCCTTGGTGACCAGATTTTCCTTTAACATTCCTTTGCACAAACATGTTCAAACTAGCTGGTTTATGTGTAGATGATGCATAACTCTCTCTGGCATCATCTAACAACACTCTATTTGGTAGTAAACAAAAGCTCAAGTAAAAAAAGCCCAGTTTGGGTACATGTCTCTATGGGGAAACTTCATTGATTGTAGTGTGTGCTGGTTTGGAGTCTGGCTGCAGACAGGGAGTGTTTCTATGCATAGCTGAGTCAAAGAAAGAACTGCAATATTTCATCTCTAACTTTTCACCCTGAATAGGTGGGTGTTTAATAATATCTCAGATTTCTTTGATCTACATGAGAGATGTCAATACATGTATCTCAAAATGGATAAATGTAAATTGCTATAAAACATCTATGCAAATGAAAAGACAGAGAATAAGGGCAGCTTCACTGAGGTATTATCCATATAAACATATTGTTTAAAGGAAAAAAAAACAGAGGAGCATTACATAATTAGGATAGCAAAGGCAAGGTTGCAGCTGCAGCGAAAGCAGTTTAGTGATATGTGAAATGGAGTGTGACAACATGACCTTTTATCCAAATGTTAGAGCTGAGTTAGCATTCTGTGACACAGAATCTTTAGGTGCCCAACTATGAACATCAATTCATTCATTTCGGTTCACTACTTTGAAAACACAAAACAAAGAGCTGTTAGACATGGTGTTGGCTCTGGGTTGGCAGGATCTCCTGTAGAGGTCAATAATACAGTGGCTCTAAAGAGACATCGGATTAAAGACTGTTGTTAAACAGCATAACAGCCAGCTGAAGAGGGGGCTCCCGGTTCTCCACAATGTTCTTCAATTTATAAAGGATCCTTATTTGCACAATCATTCCAGGAAGTCTAGAAGTCCTCAAAACATAGCCAGCTTTCTGTATCTGCTTTTGTTGAGCTATTTAAATGGTAAATGGCCTGTACTTATATAGCACATTTCAAGTCAGAGGACTTACCAAAGTGCTTCAAACTGCAATCATTCATTCACCCACCCAAGCACTGATGGTGGTAAGCTACAGTGTAGCCACAGCTGCCCTGGGGCTCACAGACAGAAACAAGGC